CTCCTGTAGCATCCTAATCTTTTTTACTCATCGTTCAACAAATATTGAGCACATACCAGTCATATGTGCCTAGCACTGTTCAGTGAACAAAACAAAGACTCCTGTCTTTTGTACACTTGCACCACACTAATATGCACCTAATTGAGAATTATATAGACAGAATAACCACCAATAAAAAAATACAGTGTAGCCCAGCTGGCATGGTTCAGTAGTTGAGCATCGACCTATGAACCAGGAGGTCACGGTTCAATTCCTGGTCAGGGCACATGCCCAGGTTGCAGGCTCGATCCCCAGTGGGGGGTGTGCAGGAGGCAGCCAGTCAATGATTCCCTCTCATCATTGACGTTTCCATCTTGCTCTTCCTCTCCCTTCCTCTCTGAAAAAATCAATAAAAATATATTTTAAAAAAAATACAGTGTAAAAGGAAACATAACCTCTGGGCACATTCAATAGAAAATAAAAGTATAGAATTTCAGTGAGGGAAGGGTGTTATATGATTTTATTCTGATTTATAGTATTTAAATAATCAACTTTCAAAAATAGAGGTGGGAAATAGTGAATTTAAATTAGAAACATGAATAATATTTTTATTTGGCATCATTATTTTTCATGGATTAGCTATAAACCATCACAGGAGATAATTTATAGATTACAGAGAGTTGTGCATATAAAAACACTTTTATATGTATGACATGCAATCATGTGTGTGTTTTCTATTTTTCACTAAACACATTCCTGCAGTTTAATGTGTTAACGTCTGACAAATAGAAATATTTAAATACTTAAGAAGTAAAACTCTTCATTTGAAGAAACATTACTATGAATTATTTTGTAAAACATTCCAAACTTTAACAATTCCTTTTGCAAATTAAATAAGTAACTGAAATTCTGTGACTTTGGCTTTTTGGATGCAGACTGGATTTAAAGTACTACAGGAAAACACACATGATTATCTGAACACCTAGAGATCATAAATGAAAATTAAACTCATTGTCTGCAGGCTTGAAGCTAAATCAGACCAATCTGATCAAATTATTGGCACAGATAGCGAGAGCCATTTTTAGTTTAACTTATACATTTTTTCATTTAAAATCTGTTTATTATCTTATTTTAAAAGTCTCTAAGAGATAATGCATTATACCATACCTTGAATGTGTGCTAAATATATGTGAAAATTGCTGGTAAGGGTTTGTTACAGTTTAACATTATATTACTGTATTTTTCAATTTAATGGTTTCATTAGGGTGAGTAGGTGCCTATTTTTTTCTACTATAGAATAAAATAAAAAGATCTCTGTAATTTATTCTTTTACTTGTAGTCTGAATCCTTAAGCAAGTTAAATAACAAAATTGCAAAGATTTGGAATAAAACTTGTTCTTGCAAAGCTCCAAAAGTAAACTACAAAAAATTGCCCAGCCAAAGGAAGAGAAATTGCAAATAGTGGAGAAGTTCTAAATTTATGAAAACATAATTATTGTTTGCCATTCTTTTTGTTTTCCATCCTTTTTTTTTTTTCACAAATAAAACAAATAATTTTTTTGGTTAAAAATAAGTAACCTGGTTATTAAGGATTTTCATCAACCTACGTGAACAGGACAACTTTTTCAAGGTATAGAAAATCACAGCTTGGGAGTCACTTAAACTTTAAGATCTGGAATTTTAAAGGTGCTAATTAAGTACCTATTAATATGTTGGATAGGGATTCCTTTTGGGGAGAGGTCACACTTCTCCAAAGAGGTAATAAATACTCATCTAAAATTTGTATTGAATGATCTCTGCTTTTTTAAAGGATTGGTTTAAGGGGAAAAAACAAACCATTCTTAGGCAACATTACTGAAAAAGTAAACCTGTAAGTTGAAAGACCCTGGTACCTTCACAATAATGAAAAATTTAATGATGTGGAAAAAAAAAGTCTTCTAACTTGTGAGGAAAAGAAAATTGCTGGTAAGGGTTTATTACAGTTTAACATTGTATTACTTTATTTTTCAATTTAATGGTTTCATTAGGGTGAGTAGGTGCCTATTTTTTTCTAAACAACCTCCCCTTTTTACAATTTATTTTTAAGATCATTATTACTTTTTTTGGCTCAGCAAACTAAGTAGTCTTGAAACTAGGAAACCTGATCTCTCTTGTGAGTGGCAGATAAAATAACTTAATACTGACCCCTGTCCCCTTAAGATTAGTTTTATAAAAAGTATCTATTAATAGTTTATTGTGTTATGAATGTTATGTGGTGTGTATTTCCCACCTCAAGGCTATGATATCCAAATATTTTGTGGACTTGTGCTGTTTTCAGGTAATTCACACCCTTCCACAACACCTATCAATGAGCTCCTCCCTTTTCATTTAATGTTTTATTTTCCTAGACTTTGCAGTTCAAGATTCACCTCATGCTTCAGTTGGTCCATATACATGGTTATTATTTGTATAAAGAAGTTAGAACATAATACAAGAAAAAAAACCCTACAGAAAACTACATTCTATGTTTTGTGCAACACAGGCCTTTAAAGGAAGTGGAAACAAGTGGAGTCAAGTTCTTTAACTGCTGTTATTAAAATAAAAAAAAAAAAAATCTGAGCCCTGCCAGGTAGCTCAGTTGGTCAGTGTGTCATCCTGATAAGGCAAAGTTGTGGGTTTGATTCCAAGTCTGGGCACATACAAGAGTCAACCAATGAATGGATAAATAAGTGGAACAACAAACTGAAATCTCTCTCTCCCTCTCTCTCCCAAATAAAATCAATTTTTTACAAAAGTCTCAGATTTAGTGGCATATTCTACCTGATGTAAAGCCAAATTGAGTAGAAAACATTACCATATTTTTAAAAAAGGAAGTATAACTAGAACAATGAATATTATTTTTTCCAGAAGTATGACTGGCAAAAGGGAAGATCCTGGAAGATTTGTAGAATCTTATAAAATACATGCCCTGTTGTTGTGAATATAGCCTAGAAGTGTTAAACTGTTTTGATTTCCCCCAAGTTACATAACATTGATTTTGAAGTTTAATGTTTCTAATATAATTACATTGGTGCAATTTACAAGAAAAATGTGGCAGGATATGTATATTTTGTTTCTCCCCCTGTTTATCACATCCTAAAATTTGTTGACTTACTTTAATTCTACATTTTAAAATGATTTTAGAAGTAACATTATTTGAAAAGAATCACTCCTGATTTAGATAACAGTTTATTAATTTTAAGTAAGGATAAATGTGTAGTTCCAGAACCCAAATTACTGGTTTTGAATTTGGGGGACAGAGAAAATAGTACAAGTAACAGGATAATAAAATATAAAAATATTTTTCTCTAAAAAAAAAAAATAATAAGGTGCTTTGACACAATTTCCTACACAATGGAGTTACAGTAGTGTACATACAATTTTATGTTTGAAGATTATTGATACTAAGATTTGCAAGGATAGAAAAAAATGAGCTGTACATGCAGACACTGCTACAGAATGTACAACTTGATAAGATTTGAGATTCAAATTAACTGCATCATAATATCAAATACCAAGATTTAACATTACAATTCATTAATCCAATCCATTATAATTCATTAGTCAAATGTCCCAAGGAGAGGGAAGAATGTACAATGAGTATTTTCTGGAAATGAATTGCTAAAAATTAGTGGAGTATGAAAAGACTTCAGAATTGGAAGCTCCAGCTGGGGTTACAAGGATGGGGGAAGGGATATGAAATATTTGAAGAGCCATTTTTAAAATTAAAATCCAGGACCGTCTCATTGGTTCCCACTGTATAAGGCCAACTCTGACCCTGCCTTAAGTATTTTTTCCTTTGTAAAGACAAGATTTGGAAACATGTACACAGGATATTTTGCACTGATTGAGGCCAGTTGGGAAAAAAACAGGGTTTAGAGCAGGATTTCAAATTGTTGTACCAAATATAATAACGTTTGTAGCAGTGGCACCATTCCATCATTTTCGAAGATGCCATTTTCCTCATTGCAAGCCATGATCTGATCATAGTTGACTTACATGTTAATATTTTCATTATCATTTAAGTACTTTTTTTTTTTTACTCTGTCTAAACAAATTATCAGTCCTGTTCACTCTGAGATTATTTACTCTGGAAATATCTGGAATTCTTTCACCCTATCTTGTCCTCTGGGGACGCCCCCCTTCTGAAGTATTGATATTCACGTGTGGGGGAGGGGAACACATCCAACAAAAAAAACGTCAGCTAGCAAGAGGCCCCTCTTCGCGGTAGTCTAGGGGAGAAGTAGAAAAACAAAGGGGGAAAAAAAAATAACTGTTTTCTCCAAGGCTATTATCTAATGCGAAAGCAAATAGTCTAAATCAGCTAACAGAAGGGGATTAGAGAGGAGATCTCAGCGAGCCTGGCTGCCTAGCGGAGCTGCCCCTCCAGCCAGGGCCACCGGCAGGGCGGCCGGCAGCGCTCGGGTCCAGATGGCCGGGGCGAGCGCTCGTCTGGGGTGACTGCCGGGCGCCCGGCCGGGGCGCAGGCGGCCTGGGGAGGTGTCTTCAGGGACCGCCCGCCCGCCCGCCGCCCAGCCCGCACGCGAGAGGGCGAGGCCGGGAGGGAGGCCGCCCGCCGCCGCCAGCCGGGACTGCCATTGTTAACATATACTTGACCTCCGTGACCCCCGCCCGCCACAGCTGTCTCCCACCTCCACCTCCGCCGCCCCGCGCCCCGCCGGGAGCGCTCCTGCCGGCACCCGGTCGCGGCCGCGCCGCCGCCTCCCCCGAGTGCGGTGACGGCGCCCAGGGCGCGGGCGCGCGCGGCGGGGCTGGGGTGGGCGCTCCCCGCGCAGCGCGCGCGGTGCCCGCTCCCCGCCGGCGCCCGGCCGCCCCGCAGATAAATGCGGCGCCGGCCGCGAGCGTGAGCCAGGGCGGGCGAGGCCGGCGCGGACGCCGCCGGGGACCGTGGCGAGCCCCGCGCCCCGCATCGCCTGCGTCTGCCGCCGCCGCGAGGCGGAGGGAGGGCGCGAGGGGGGCGCGCGCGGTGCGGAGCCCCGCCAGCCTGGGGCGCTGCGTGGAGGCGGCCTTGGCGGACGTCCAGACCCCGGGCTCGGGCACCGCAGCTCGCCGTGCGCGGGACCGGCGGCCGCGGGCGCTCGGCGGCGGGACCGGGCGGCCTCCCGGCGAGCGCGCGGGGGCCAGTGGCCGCGGGTGCGGCGGCCTCGGGAGGGAGGCGGCGCCGCGCCCCGCCGGCCGGCCGAGACGACGGGAAGTTTTATTGGCAGCTCGGGAGCCGTGGCGGATGGTGGGACTCTCCGGCCCTGTGCAGTGTAAGTGCCCGCGGGCGGCGGGCGGCGGGGCCGGGCCCCGGGCCATCGCTCCCCGGATTCCGATGGCCGGCCGCGGCGTGGGGGGGCCGCGGCGTGGGGGGGCCGCGGCGTGGGGGGACTCGGCCCGGAGCCCGCAGCTGGGCTGGGCTGGGCTGGCCGCTCCGCTCGGGTCGGACTACGCGGCGGGGGCAAGAGGAACAGCGCCGGCCACTCGGTCTGCGATGACACTGAACTTCACGGGGCAGCCAAGGATGCGATTTGCACTCTCAGGTTTCCCGACGGCCTTTCAGGAAGAATTTCGCTTCTCTCTCCGCGGTCACTCACGCTGTGTGAGCAGGACGATGACTCGTGGTCCCCCCAGTCCCCCCAGCGCCGGCCAAGCAACTGGACAGGGCGCCCATGGTGCGTTTTGGCAGGTGGCCCTAAACCCGCATCGTGGCTTTTTTTTTTTTTTTTTTTTTTTGCGTTTGTTTGTTTTTACATCTGGGAAGGGAAAGGCTCGTTTAGGCGGTGGAAAACTTGGCTCTAGGAGCAGGAGAGCGAGTCTTAACTTTGAGACCCGGCTGCGACTAGGGTCGTGGTCCTGGCGGCGGCGCGGAGGCGCCTGCGCTGGTCGGGGAACTTCACCTTGTTGCTCCCAGGCTTTTAGGGTCGTGAGCCCTTCGGGGGGCGGAAGGCAGCCCGGACCCGAGCACCTCCCGACCTGCGGGCTTCCCCGAGGGGCCGGGGGGCAGCGTCGCTCCCGCCCGACCTCTGCGCCCTCGGGGCCCCGCCGCCCCGGCCCCGGGGGTGTTCCCGGTGCCAGCCCGGAGGCGGTGCCCACCCACCTCTCCGGAGCCGGAGCTGGAGCTGGAGCCCGGGGTTCTGCAGCTCCCGCCCCGAGGAGCCCGGGCGGGGAGCCTCGTCCGGGGGGATTGTTTTGATTTCCAGAAACTCGTCCGGCTGAGCCGCTGAACCCGGGGAGGAGCGCGCGGGGCCCCGCCGCCCCCCGCTCCCACTGCGAGCCCGGAGGACTGGGTGGATGGCGCACCCAGACCCCGCGCCCGGGCGGACCTGTCGCTGGTCCGGACGCCTCAATCCAATGCGGTCATCTCGGCACCGGCGCTTAAATTATTATTATTTTTTTCCTTGGAAAGGGTGGGCAACCCTTGGGAAAGTTGGAGGACTGTGATGATGGGAAGCAGGATGCGAATCGAGGTGGTTGCTAAAATTAACTGCCCTCCCACCCCACCCCCGCGCGCCTTTCAGTGCGGAGGATTCGGCAGGGGAACCTTGCAGTCCTGGGTCTCCTTATTCCTTGCAAAGCATGATGGAGACATCTTCGGAGCATAGCTTTCCTTCAAGACGGGGCACCTCCACTCCCAACGCGCCCCCAGGGGCCCGGCTGCTGCCTGCTGAGCGAGTCTGTAAAACGAGGCTTTCAGGAACAGCTAGTATCCCCCGTGGCAGACGAGTCCCCAAGGCCAGGGAGAGGCCACCCCAGACCAACTTCATGTGCTTCATGTTGCTCGGAGCCCCCCTGAATTTTTAACTTGCCTTCCCTTAATTAATCTGCCCGGGGTCTGTATATGAATGGCTGTCCGCAGCTGCTGCAAATTGATTTATCCCCCGATAAAGGCCGGGTTGCTGACCAAAGCATTTTCTTTTCTACCTTCTCCGTGAACTGAGATCTGTTTTACAGGGCTTCGCCCCTCCGGGTCTCCTTTAAAACATCTGTAACGTTTTTAAGTGCGTTCAGTGGCTTTTATCATCATCCCCCCCTCCCTTTGCCTAGGACAGAGTGGAACTGGGTCTGTGCCCAGCGAGCCCACACTCACTAGAATACAAATTGACTGGCTTCTCTGTGATAAATGGTTTGTTAGTGTCGGGAGCCTCCTTTTAGTTGATGGCAGCGTTTTGCCTTGGCCATGGGAGATTCTGTTGTGCCCAGTTCCTCCCGTCACCCAGTTCCTTAGGAAACACGTTGGCAAACTCCATTGTTTCTTAACCCAGAGTAGCCCCAACCTGGGTGTTTATGTGTCAGCTGTGAGGTGTACAAACACAGGCAAATTCTGATTTCCCTCCCCGCTTCTTTCCCTGTAAAAGGTAGTCTAGTTTTCACATCCTGGGGGCTTTCAGATAACATAGATAAGGCTGTCTGATTTTTTTCCCTTCCTTTTATTTTACTGATTGCTATTTTTAAAGGGAGGTCTGACAGTCTTACCCAATATTAATCGTGGAACCTCAGTTTGACCCAGGTTGTTTTTGCAGCTAGAATGGATGTGGAGGAAGTTGAAGTCTATCATTTCTTTTCATGGGCTGCATTGAGCATTGGGTATTTCCTTGGTTTATTCTTTCAAAAGACAAAATTCCAAAAAAAAGGGAGTCAGGCTTATTTTGAGTGTATGAAAAGTGACTTTAAGATTATGCTAAGGGAACGTCTTTATATTCAAAGTCTTTGTTTTAAGCATATATTTATTGCATATCATTTAAACAGCAGTCACCGTATTTGAAAAGCTAAGTATTGAGTGGGAGAATTTGACTATGTGGTTTCTCCAGTGGCCAGGCTCAGATCTAAAATAATCTGTGGCCCACTAACACCTGCTAATAATTTGATTTTTAAAATGATCCTTAAAGGGCCTTTCTAATAAGCATTCTACTTGCCATCCAATGCAAACTGTACCATTAATTGCAAGTTGCTGGAAGTAGTAGGATAGTATATTTTGCAGCTACAGGACAGCAGCTTTTTAATCTTTTTACAGTTTTCCCTTTCTAAAGTAAAGTAAAATATTGCTCTTGATGCTGGTATTTGATGATGAGTTGTCTCATTGAGGATGCTCGTCTAAATATTTGCAGATAAAAGAGCACTTCAAAATTGGCAGAGAACTACACAAATGTAAAGTATCATTATTATTGATTTTATTGTGAAATAGAATCTTAGCAGAAAACAAAACACCCCCCCCCCCCCCCATTGAAAAGGGATCACGAGAAAGCAATGCTTCTAATAGGAATACTGGGCAGTGGTTGTCAGTTCAGGACATTCTTCACTGTCAAATCCTGTTTCTCACTTCTTTGATGTTCACATCAGCTGACAGGCACTGAATGCAAAGCCTTCTTCATTGAGGTTTTAGGCAGGCAACATAGCCCTTCATAGAAAAGCAGTCTGAAAAATTGGCACCTGCAGGATTTGCATGTGAAAAAAAGCGCGTCAGTTGCATTTTACTGGAGTCTGTTACCGTAAGTTACATAAGTTCAGTGAGAAAAGATATTTATTTGTTGCTGTTTGGGCATTTGAACTTCTTTGTTTTACATGCAGCTTATTAACCATATAGTGTTCCATAGACTTTATTGTTAACAGAAGAAGGAAGAAGTAGTGTCTGGCTTTCCAGAAGTTATTTATTATGGAGTGGATTTATTTTTAACCATGTGCTTATTTATTACACAGTACACTCACATCCATAGTTCATGTACCTTAAAATGTACCTTAAAATGATGAACTCATACAACTTTCAGAATAATCTAGAAGAAGTTAAATAAACACATAAGATTAGGTTGACATAAGTATCTTTTGAAAAGAATCTAGCATTTTCAGTTAGATACTTGAATAACAAGTTAAAATCTGTAAGAAGAAAATGAAATGTTTCATCCTTCAAAACCTCAGGAAAATGTTACGTTTCCTCCCACTTGACTTGTTAAAGTGCTTATCACTAAAATGCCTTTAAAAAATATCATAGTGAACCCTATTTATGCAAAATAACTGTTAAGTCAACGAACACCTTTGTGAACTATTCCTGGGGACATTTTATTCAGCATAAGTTATTATCTAAAGAGATACCTTCCAACCCCACTTTTTTTTTTTTACACCCATTAATATAAGAGTTCCTAAATAATGTTTAAAGAACAGTGAGCATTTTATTAAAGCAAACATTAGTTCAGTTTAATGGAGGTAATTGTGAGTGATAAGACAGAGCAGGTTATCTCTGTGTTGTTTAAACAGAAGGAGCTACTTTGCACCATTTCCAGTAGCCATCTGTGGAAGGGAAGGGTTTGCACCTGTCTGTCCACACTAATTATAGATTAGGGCCAAAGAAATGAAATTCGAGGAGGTTTTCAGCTAATGAAATCCATACTGATTTTATTGTAAATGTGTTTTATGTAAAGAGGGTGATGGTTGAGTTATGAGTGAATAAATCGCTACGTAGCTGCTAGGCACTTGGTTTCGAAGCACAATTCTGCTGCATTAACCTTTGATATTAAAAAAAAAAAAAAAAAAAAAAAAGACAAGCCACTTAAAGATGGATGCTAGCCTTTGTTTGACATCCACAGCAGCAATTTAGTGAGGAGCAGGGAGGTTCAGCGTGCAAGTTAAAAATGTGCTATGAAGCTGCTTACGTGTTAAGAACAGTCTAATATTTTGAAATGGAGATGATGTAGAAGGTTTAGGTTCTGTATTAACTTATGTACATAAAACATCCGAAAATTAGAAAGCCTTTTTTTTTTTTCTGTAGTTCAGTTTCACATAAATGAGGAATTAAAGTAAAATGAGTGAGGAATGCATTCCTCAATAAAAGGTCACATGGATGTCTACCACATCTGTTTATAGTAATTATGAACATAATTAACATAAGAATTACAAATGAAATAATGACAAGCTGAGCAATGAGATATTATGCTGTAATGGTCATATGCTGGAATTCTCACATTATAGCACACTAGAATTCACATACTCAAAGAAAGAAAGAAAATGCTAGATTTTTATCTGAATTAATGCTTCAAAACTTATCTGCCTGGGGCAGATGGACTTCTTGCTTTTATAGGAAGGCACCCTATTATTAAGATGAGAACTAGTTGCAATTAAGATTTCTAGTCACCAGCCTGGACCTTAAGACAGCTGTGATTATAGAAACCACTTTCTGCTGGACACTTATTCTGTGATTATAGCTCTTGATTGTTATATTGCTTTTTTAAAAATGGAAAGCTTTGCAGCAAAGTATTTGCTTTGGAAGAGAGTCATGGATTCT